ACTACAGTATTCTACCGATTTACAAGCTGTGCACAATGGCGGACTTTGGGCTCTCAACTTCCAGTGGCACTGTGCGTGCCTCTTTGTGCTCCATTCTACAGAATTTTCACACTACCCTAAGGCTACCCAAGCAATTGCATATTCATGTCATGGAACTGCAGAGGGAAAACCTGAAATTACGTAAACCGCGACACAATAATAAACTCATATTTATAATGCATTTGCATTTTTTTTCCTGCTTAAGCTGGATTGCTGCAGCTAAGCCACTCCAAAGCTAGACAGCATTTCTACCTTGTTAGCTAGAATTTAAAATAATCTGATTAAAACGATCCAATTGCTGGTATGTGTTCTAGGGCTACAGTTTGCGCCATTTTAGCTGGTTAGTATTTTGCCTCTGTGTTGGCATAGGCTCGCCACCTTTCAGCACCCGAATCACAGAAATGTAGTAGATCATGGGTAGGCAAACTAAGGCCCAGGGGCTGGATCCGGCCCAATCGCCTTCTAAATCCGGCCCGCAGACGGTCCAGGAATCAGCGTGTTTTTACATGAGTAGAATGTGTCCTTTTATTTAAAATGCATCTCAGGGTTACTTGTGGGGTGTAGGAATTCGTTCATATTTTTTCCCCAAAATATAATCCAGCCCCACACAAGGTCTGAGGAATAGTGGACTGGCCCCCTGCTGAAAAAGTTTGCTGACCCCTGTAGTAGATGAACAACTTTCTTACCAGGGAGATCAAGCGGAAGGCAAAGTTTTGCCTGTTTCAACACCTTCTTGCTATACTGTTATTAAAAGGCATAGGAGCCAGGAAAGTTTAAAAAGGAAAGTTGGCAACCCAAATTTGATTCCATGAAGTATGTGGGTTGAGGACCCTCTTTCCTACCCCTCAAGCTGCTGTTAGCCCCATGGTGTGGGTGTCCCCCTCTCCCACGCCAGGACTAATAAGATGTAGAGAAGATTCAGCAAACAGTGTGGAGGAAAAATAGTTATACCATATTGACCCAGTCCCCCATATCCACAAAACTGGCTTGAATGCAACCTGAGTGGAGTCTATATTTGGCGCAGTTAAAACTTGATTGAATACAGTACGTCTTATATGGAGTCAGGCTGTTTGTCCATTTTAGCTAAGTATTATCTAGGCTGACAGGCAGTGGCTATCGGAGGTCTCTGGCATAATCTGTTGCTGGCTATTAACTGGAGATGGCCGGGATTGAACTTGGGATCTTGTCCGTGCAGAACGTGTGTTGCATCACTGATCTATAGCTAGGGCTGAGAGAATGTACCTATTTCGCTTCTCCCGGTTTCTCATTTTTCCAATCTTAAGTTCAGTTCCCCACATTTTCACACCAATATGCCATTATTATTATTATTATTATTATTATGCCTCATGAAAACTCATCAGCATTTTAGTGCAACTTCCTCCTAATATACACATATCTCCATGCTTTATTCCTAATACAGTGGTACTTCTGGTTACGAACTTAATTCGTTCCGGAGGTCCGTTCTTGACCTGAAACCGTTCTTAACCTGAGGTACCACTTTAGGTAATGGGGCCTCCCACTGCCGCCGTGCGATTTCTGTTCTCATCCTGAGGTAAAGTTCTTAACCCGAGGTACTACTTCCAGGTTAGCTGAGTCTGTAATCCGAGGTGTTTGTAACCCGAGGTGTTTGTAACCCGAGGTACCACTGTATACAGTTTTCAAAAGCAGTTTCATTTCCGCATGTCTCTCCACACACCCTGCCAATGTATACACTCCATGCTCACTGTACCCCATTCTATATTCAGTTTTGTGTTGTGGTTATGGTTTTTGTGAATTGTTAGTTGCTAGGTGTCCAAAGGTCTCCAACTGACGAATAACACTCTTAAAAAGACAAAAACCAAACAAACAGAATAAAAAGAGCAGCCACAGGAAGCTTGGGCAGTACCAAACTCTGGCAGCTACTCACAAGTTACTTGGTTGGAGAACGGCATTGCAAAATTTGGAGAAGTACAAATTTCAAAGGATGGCTGCGATTTGGTTTGCATATTGGAGAATTAGGCAGGTTCTCCTTTAAATGAGAACTGAATGGAATTTCTTTCTCCTCCCACCCCACTAGTAGGGGCACTTCTTCAGAATAAAACAACCCCCCCCCCCAAATATCCCCATGGTCCCCAAACACCATTCATCAGATTGAATTCAAAGCTCTCACCCCCACCCTCAAAAGTAAAAATTGAAATATCATGAGGTTTTCTCACAGATGTCTTGTAGTTTGGCCATGAGACACGGAAAACAATTGTGTCTTTGAAGGCTGGAGAGTTGTTTGTTTCGATTACTTTAAAAACAACAACAACAACAATTATCAGTGGGTATATCTTGGGAACAAGTAAATGCTTTGTAGGGGGAACTGTGGAAGGAATTTACAACTGGAGACGTGCTGGGTTTTAACACTAGAGAAATGTACATTTGCAGTAATTTCTAAGCTGTGGGCTGGGACACCCTAGACTGCAAGTGTGCTGTGGGGCCCACAAACAAACCAGAACTTTAGGTTTGCACATTTAAACTGGATTAACACCCTTTGTCCTGGAGCAACGAATCCACTTAAGATAACAGCCCTGGACTTCTTGTGCTTTGAAAAAGGGTCAGGGAAAATACATGAAAAGTTGGATTGCTAATAGAAAGATGTGTAGAACCTTGTTAAGCAACGTGAGGTGAATGCAGGGCCGGATTTAAGTTTAATGAGGTCCTAAGCTACTGAAGGTAATGGGGCCCTTTATATGTCCAGCTGTCGTTTGTCAACAGCAAATTGTCGCTGTTTTTTGTGTTGAATATATGCTATATGGTAATTTATGGACCTAATAGGTATCTAAAGCCATTTGCACATGCAGAATGTAGGCACCCTATATATAGAAATGAGCAAACCAGTGATATTTTAGGGAGCAGGCTAGCAGGCGGGGCCCATGACTTACATCATAGGAGCCTACACAACACAAAACACTGTTGCTGCATGTAGGTTTTATTTTATTTGTTTTTTGTCTTATATTTTGGAAATGTACATCCAGGGTTTTTTTCCTTTAAATTTTTTGGGGGGACCCCAAGAAAGTGGGGCCCTAAGCTACAGCTTGTTTAGCTTATACGTAAATCCGGCACTGAGGATGACAACTGTTTTGCAAACAAACCAGGATGTATGCTCAGTGAAGATTGGAGGTAATCCAACCTCCATCTAAGATTTGTGCAAGCTAATCGGGATGAATACTCAATCCATAAATCATCTGGAGGGGCCCAATAGAGCACAGATTTCTGCATGAACAACGAAAATTTCCCACCTCTCCTCCACCAGTGCAGCCCCTAAATCTGTTCTGGGGGTTCCTATAACAGATTTGGGAGGGCATGAGGTGTGCAGAACGAGGACGGGAGAAATTCCATTGTGCAAGTAGAAATTCTTGCATCTTTTTAGTAGAATACTGCCCCTCACTCTGCGGCCCTCAGCACCTGCTGCCTGAGGCAGCTGCTTCTCTCTGTCTAATGATAGAGCCGACTCTGGTTGCAATTGGACTCTGGTTACAAGGGAAGCATCTCTTGGGCGTCTTTAGGCTGTTTCCCTCCTGTTAGTCCAGGGAGTTTCTGGCTTAAATATGAAATGATTGTGTGGTTTTCGAGGCTTGCAGCCAACTGATTGAGTTGCAGAGAACTTTTAAGCAGGCAGAATGGGAACGATGCTCATTTGAACCAAGAGGAAGAGTGCAAAATCAATTACAAATGCAAATATGATTGAGTCCTAAGAATAGCTGCCTTTGTAGCTAACTGTGCACTATAAATATCCAACGTAGAGCTGATCATCTATTCTCACCAGTGAAGGGAAAGAATCCTCAATAGCTCCTACAATCAGATGAGGGTCTTACATAAGTAGGGTTGCCAACTGACCAGAAAAAAGCAGCTCAGCCTACTCCTGTGCTTATAACAGAGGAGTGTGTTGGAATCATTTGAAAACCCAACAGTTACCTGTTAATTGCTGCTGATTAAACTACTATCAACTGGACTCAAAAAGTTAGAAACCCTATACACAAATACGACATTTACTTTAATTGGTAGCTTCTTTAATCCTACAGCATTTAGTCAACAAATTAACCTTGGTTATGCGTTGCAGAGATAGTTTTGTGAGATTTATTTGTGTGTGTTGTTCTTATCATTTGACAATATTTAATCTGTAAGTATTTGTGGGAAAGGAGCTACATTTTTTGTTTCGTTTTCCATTTTACATCAATAGTCAAGGTTTTGTGGAGTGACAACAGAGTTGCAAGAGCTTAGTCAACAAGCTGAAAGAGGAAATGAGGTCTTCAGTTCAAATATAAAAACTAAATTGGAGCCGAATAGTGAATAAGATCATGGGTTTGGATTCTGGGTCCAATTTCAAGCGTCACCTCCAGATGGCAACCCCCCCCCCCAACATTTCAAGGATTCAGAAGTAGGAGGAGGGATTGAGAACAGAAGAATATAGTCTTCCATTGTTTACAGAAGAAAACTGTTACTGAAATACGTGATGCTATTGTGTTTTGGGGGTTGAGGTATTATGGTGTTGGCCTGGAGTTCCCAAGCAGTGTTGATTGTAACACAACCTTTTAGGACTGGTGACCTAAAGGACACCTATAGTGGGGCAAAAAGCCATTATCTTGATTCAGACCACAGATGATAGAATTGAACTGCTTCATGAATTGTGAGCCATCAATTTCACAGTAGAGTCTCCTTTGAAGGGTTATCAAGCAGCCAATACTGATCAGTAAAGTAATGTATCAGGTAACCAGGATTGTTTGTTACCTGTTGTTGATAAATCTCCATTTTGCATCTATTTTTGCCCCTTTGGGGATGCTTTGTTAAAATGTTCTTGGTGTGAGTTGCTAGAGCTGCCATCCTCCAGGGTTCAGCATTCAGCCCCACATGTTTAGAATTGCAGAATCATAGAATTGTAGAGTTGGAAGGGACAACAAGGGTCATCCAGTTCAACCCCTTGCAATTCAGGAATCCTTCGCCCAACATGGGGCTTGAACCCACAACCCTGAGATTAAGAGTCTCGTGCTCTACTGCCTGAGCTGTCCACATGCAGAGCCCAATAAAAACCACCGTATTGGAATCTGTAAATATCAGTGTATAGGGAGAACTGCCCTTAGCTATACATTACAGGAGATGCACTGGTCCACATCTTTCTCACACGGTCCCCCTGGTGATGTCTCGTAAAAGTGACATGTCATGTGATGTCATCATGGTCAGCATCCCTCCTCTCCAGTTCATTGATCACTGTATGTAGGAGGTGGGGAAACAAATGACTTCCTTTTACCAGGGACAGGAGCTGTGCATCCTGTGTAATAAATATCTAGGTAGGCCTTTAGATGGTTTGTAAACCAAAGAATTCTCCAAAGCATAGCTAATGCAAGTCATGCTTCTTAGCTGTGCCTTGAGATCTCTCAACGCCACTTCATTTCCTATTTATCCAAGGCCTGGGCTCTTAAAATAATCATATATTCATGGCAGACTTTGGAGCACTGATTCATTTTTGAAGTGGTTTTTGGCGCTGGACCAGTTGCTTGCCTCTCTAGTGTGTTATTTTGCGCTGAAATCCCAGCATAGGGAAGTCAATGGGAAATTCTGAGAACCAGCCGACACCAAATCACTAGGAAGAAACCTGAAAAGGAGATCTAAGGCGTTTTACACAGTGAATATTCTTGCTGCATTTCAAGTCAAATTTGCCCATCACCCATGGGCTGATGTGTGTTGAAGTCACCTGCCGTGGGTGGAGTCTGGGGGGTGATGTCCTCACCTGATGGAATTGCCTGATTGGTTTCCCACCCTGACCTCCGTCTTTGGAAATTGTGATGGAAAGGAAGGCTTCACATACCTGGGATTCAGCGTGCTTCAAGTAAGAATACTGTGCTCAAGATCGCTTGAAGTTGACTTGAGGGAAGCCATGTCAAAATGCAGTAGTTTACTAGAAATTGCAGGATAGGTCTGGATCCTGTGTAATCTCATGTGTACATGGATGCCCTACTTAGGGCAAGGTCTTCAGAAGCTGCTGCAGGGAAGAGATGGAGTATGGCCACTTTGAGGATTGGGAGGACTATGATTTCCAAAGCTGTTGCAGCAAACTTCATTGTGCTGTACTTTGATTCTGATGATGGTTTTATTGTACGATTGCTTTATTTAATGTGTGGTGCTTCTATTCCCTCTCATCGATCAATAATCTGTTCCTGCTTCTCCTCCTCCCCCTCCTCTGTTTTGTTACTCTCAGCCTTTTCAACCCAGTTAACTACTTTTATAACCTTGGGTATTTTTATTTATTGTAGACACGGATCGAGCTTTAGCACTTCTGGAAGACTATTGCAAGAAGCTGAAAAAGCCAGAAGAGCAGCCACTGAAAAAGGCCATTAAAAAGGTGATGGGCATCTTTAAAAGCAGCTTATTCCAGGCATTGCTAGGTACGTAAATCCGGCTAATGCTTATTTTTTCTTCATGGTTGTTATGATTCAGGCAATTGGGTGCTGAAGATGGATGGCTCTTAGATGATTCTCATAGACTGGCTTGGTTAATGGGGTCAGGTGAACAACTAGCCTGATGTGGGGATGTTCCATGTGGAGTCTGGTTTATTAACTATGGTTGCTGTAGGTGGTAATCACCATAAAGTAAAGAATTTGAAAGACCACCTTCTTCCCTGTAGATCAGTTCAGGGCTTAAGACAACAGAGGTGGAGGTTCTGATGATTCTACTACTCTCAGATGTTTGGAAGTGAGCAATGGCAGCTTGTTAGAGAGCCTTCTGGGTGATGGTTCCAAAAATGTGGAGCTTCCTCTCTACAGAGGAGGGGACACCATATCTTTCCAGCTTCTGTTGTTTGTTGAAGATACACTTGCCCTCCTGAAAATTGAAAAACGTGTTTTGGTGCCTCTCTTGGCAGAAAACCTGACCTACCTATTTTTGATTCTAGTATTACAGGTGTTTGCTTGTTTGTTTAACTGTCCTATCTGTTTTTATATGCTGTAATTTGCTTCTCATGAAGGGTGGGTTAGAAATACAATAAAAATGGTGATGCGGAACTTTTCTCGCTCTCTCATTTTCCTGATGTAAATGATCCTGCCAACCCGCCAAGCTGCTTTCTGCTCTATTATGGGTACCTATAGGCTTCCCTGATGGGGCAAATAGAAACTTTGGGGGAAATGTTTTACGTTGGGAAAATGATTCAGTTTTGGCATTGGGGGTACAGTTGCCACTTGTCAAAATCCAGAGGTGGAGGATTTGATAATGGATCTCCAATGTTGCCTTGTTATGTCTGGCCAAAAGAGGAGGTTGAAGATAGGCTTTGCTGTGACTCTGGGAGGCAGAGAGATTGTTCTGTCGAACATGCCCGCCCTTAGAGCTAGTAAGTGTCCTATAGGTTTGATAGGGACAGGCAATCGCCTTCCTGTTTGCTCTGAAAGTGTTCAGAGAGTTGAGCACTGTGGTTTAAGAAGAAGAAGAAATTGTAGCGACCACCATCACCTCCTCCTCCTCTCCTTCCATAAGATCAAATAACTGACCATTGAAGGGCTTTCTCCCCCATAACCTTTGTTCGGTAGATTTATTGCTTTATTGTTCAGCGCCCAGCCACGCTTCCCCTGCGAGCCTCTGTAGCTTCTGTTTACGCAGGGTGGCTTTGTAGCAGTCGTAAAGCAATTAGCAGAATTACACAGCGGTGTGTGTCGAAAGAGCAGTAAGCAAGTCCCACACGTTTCTTCTGTCCTAATATCCCTTTATTTGCTCAAAAGTAGCATATTTACAATCAATAACAGCCATCAGAATCAAGCTGCAACCATGGGAAAAGTGGAGATGGAAGTAGCAGGTGCTTGTTGAGAACTTCTGGATTGTCTGTTCCAACCAGAATCCCTGGTGGGAATTTGATGCTCTGGAGCTTTCACTTTGAAAGAAATGGGAGGTGGAGTGTTTGTGTGATTCTGGGTCTGTTCCCGGTCAGCGATCGGTGCTTCCATAGACTTGGCAGAGTGCCTTTTCCTATCACCCTCTCCACTTCCTCCTTCCTCACAACATGTCTGTTGGCATCAGGGAAGGAGAATGAGTAGGAAGTGGTGAAAGGCCCTTGGAGAGGGTCTGACAGAGGTGGACATAGTCTTTTGGGATCCTCCTTGGAAGAATTCAAGCAGGTATCACCTTGTGGTTGAAATTCAGCTCTAGTCTTGGAGACAGAAGGTGACAGCCATCTCTCTTGTTTGTCGGTATGCGCAGGGCATAAATTTCCATGTCAAGCAGTGCATGTTTTGTCCTTGAGGAAATGCTGCTAATATATTTCCCCCAAAAATGCTTGCTTTCAAAACTGCTACAATAGTGGTGTTGTTGTTTCCTGTGATTTTGGGTTTTTCTTGGGGTGGCTAAGATGTTTCGTAAGTGAGAAAAAGGAGAACTGCTTGAACCAAAGCTTTCCTTCCATTGTGTTGTTCATCACTCATTGCGATAAACAGGAAAGAAGTTTCCCAGCCTGTTGATTTAATTTTTTTTATATATATCTATAAAAAAAGCCCACAAATGCATTTATTCTCTCCATCCACCCACTTGAGATGACCTTTCTTCACTCCCGTGGTGCTTTTAAAATTTTATTACGGGGATTTTGGAATGGCGAAACATGCATAATCTCTCATTACAAAATTGTTTTGCTCTTTGAATGCCTTGGATTGGCTGATACTCAATAAGTGACTGTGCAACCGTATTCCAAGGTTGTAAGAGGATGCCGTTACATAATAAAACCTGATTATTATATAATCGTTACATATAATAATCACACTTCTGACATCTGTTTGGGACCACGTTTGATAGGCTGCCTCGTAATGTGTTTCTGCATTAAAATTCACACTAATGTCATATGGTCCCTGTGCTTTGGTCCCTTTTTTTTTTTAATCTGTTGTGCGTTCGTCAATTTTTGTCCTGAAAAGTTGCTTATAATTCTGAATATTCACAGTGCTTGTGGCAGGATGCAAATGTTAAAATCTAACAAAACAGAACCAAAGAAGAAGCCAAAACCTCACCAGTAAAACACACACCACCACAGCAACAACAACAACAGCAAACAAGATAACTCAAAGTTAAACTCGTAAAAGCCTCTCTACTCTCCAAAAGCTAATATTTTTAAAGGTAAGCTTTTCACTTAAGCAAAACCAAAGCAAATGTTAAGAGAGTTGGGAGTGAGGAAGATGCAGAATTGCCTTGAGGCGGCGGTTTGGAAGGCAATTAATAAATCCAAGTTAATAATAATGAATAATGCACCAACTAGGCCTGAAGGTTTTAACTGGGATGGGTGTGATCAGTGTTCCTGCTTACTCTGCATCCAAGTCCTACAGCTTCCAAGATCCTTCCTGCTTTCTCTTCTTGGGCTCTTTATCTTTAAATCAGACTCTGAAGGAGCCTTCAAAGAGAGGGCTGAGGACAAATGGTCCCTTAATTCCTCTCCCATTGTGGCTTCCCAACAATTGATGCAAAGAGGCAAACTGCCTCTGAACATATATGAAGAGCACTGCTGGTTGAGACCAATGACCCACGTAGTCCAGAATTCTGTCATCTTAGTGTCCGACCAGATGTCTATGGGAAGCTCATAAGTAGGACGTGAGCACAACAGTGCTCTCCTCACTTGCAATTCTCAAATATTGTTATAATAACAATAACAATAACAATCTCCCACTCATCCGACTGGGTTTCCCCACTGGGCATACCACTTCTACTACCGTGGAGGTAGAACATAGCCATCGTGTTTAGTAGTGACTGGTAGCCTTATTCTCTCAATTTCTCATTTTACCCATCTTAAATTCAATTCTCCACGTTTCTGCAGTGATTTGCAATTTCTTTAAAAATCCTCATGGAAATTTGCCATAACTTTAGTGCACTTTTCTCCTTATAGACACATTTCATGCAAACAATGTTCCTCGAGAGATTTTTTCGTATGTTATTTACATGAATGCGGTCATTTCTAATGCACCATTTTCCCCAATGCATGGATGTCTGTGCACATTGACGGAGATCCGCATCACAAATAAATTGAGAAGTGTGAATTTAGTAGGGTGATTGGGTTTCATTTTG